GGTGATTTGCTACCGTAATTTCTCGTTTGGAATATGAGGAAATGAACTGCGGTCTGGCTCTCCCAGCTTGCACGCGGTTTGATTGGCTACTATGGCTAGCGCTTGAACTGTCAGATTTGCATAAACGGGATTTGATCGGCTGACGCTTCCAGCTCAGCTTCAAAAGTTGAACATTGCTCAACTTTTGAATCCTGAAAATCCTGTAAATCTTCGCTTCGCTTCCCCACAATGCAGTTCGGCGAAAAGCGAGGCAAAGTGACGTCACTCCCATTCAAAGTCAATGGGCAGAGAAGCGTTGGAAGATTTTTTTAAAGCTGCTGTGTGGACGTACCGTAATAGACTATCGTTGAAAAGCTTTCTTTAAACTCAGGTTCAGGCAGCTATCGTAGATGGTCTCTTAGCCTCTGACTGTACCTGCAGCTGGTCCAGCAGGTCGGAGGCCTGCAAGCGGGATCTGAAGTCCTGAGGCACGCTGGAGTTCAGGGCACTGCTGATTGGCTTGTAGGAGTCTGATGAGGCAGGAGATGTATTGTGGGAGTTCAGCAGGACTTCTTTCACGATGTCAGCGGGGGATTTGAACATGAAGGGGGGCCCAGGGGACAAGGACTCTCTCTTGAAACAGCGTGCACTCTTAGGGGGGGTGTAACCATCTTTTGGGAAAAAGACCCTGGGCTCCACGTTGGAGAAGTCTGGTATGCGATAACTCGGTGGCCCTTTTCTGGAAATACAAATATAAATCATGGTGAGTGCATGATGATGTGTGAAAAGCTGCAGCATTACGTGGGGTAAAACAAGATGTCACCTGGACTCGTCCACCTCAGCAGCATTACTCCTGGGTCTGGGTATCCTCGACTCTCGGTCAGGACTCGCTGTTTTCTGTTTGAACTTTAAGGACTTGGCTGTGCCGAGGAATCGAGTCTGTGGATATGTTGCTTCAGGAGATGGCTGCCTCAACTTCCTTGGTGAGGGACTTGGTTGTTTATCAGACTTATCTTGTCCCTTTGAGGGCAATGTACTAACTCGACTGCAATGGTTTGAGGTTCCTTCATCAGAGAACATGTCTGCCAGCTGAAGAGAAGCCCTGGGCTTTACCTCAGGACAGCGAGGACTGGACTCAAGGCTTAGGTGGCTGCGGTGTGATTCTGGAAGACTTTCAGCAGCGCTGTTGTCTGGAAAGGTTTCAGTGTCAATGCCCTGAGCAGCAGCCATTTCCTCAGGGGAGAAGTGGAGAAGGTGGGGGAAGGGGAGCGCTGTGAGAGGGGAGGCAGGGTGGGATATTCTGCGGTGGTGAGTGGAGACTCTGACAGGTTCCTTCTCTGACAGGTGAGCACCACAATATGGCTTAGAGTTGGTCTTCTCAATCTCTTCTTTGGAAGTATGGCTTTCAGAAAAGCCGTTGGTAGTTCCAATCTCTCTTTTGTGTTGATCGTTTTCTCTCTTCCTGTCACTCCTCTTCTCTGCTACCTCTCCATCTTTCTCCTCCGTGTATTCTTCCCACTCAGAGACACACTCTTTCCCCGGCTCTTCTTTCCTCTGCCCGACCTTTCTAGCCAACTGTTGTGCTTCAAAGCTCTCAATCAAGTTCTCATCTGCCAAACACATGGAGTTATGGAGAAAGGTGAAGACAGGTTTCAACACAGGGAAGGGAAGATAGGGGTCATGCTCGTCTAGCTTTGAAGGAATCTCTTAAAGTGTGTTTGCAAGATATACATTCAAGTTGAAGAGGGTCAACTGGTATCGCCCAATAACTATGTCCAAATTGACAGGAACTTGCTGTACATTTCAAAAACTGTTAAAACCCCCATCCACACAAAGACCTACTTTGCTTAGCGATATTTGACCTTGAGGTAGAGATGGAAAAACAGATAGCAGTGATGATAAACTTAGGTTTGTGTACGATAATGGTATTATAGCCAATAAACAGCCAATAATACAAAAGCCAAATGGCAACATGATGACATTGGCTTCGGCTTTAAGACATGCTCGAGTCCAATCAATTCAGTATAATGTATTGGTAGAGTGATTGTGGACTTATGGTAGCCTTGAGAAGTCCTATCCTATTTGTTTTCTCTATATCTTTTGGTTCAAACTTAGGAAAAAACGTGTATGCTTTTAACAACATGGGTTTCTCGTGCAGCTACTTAAAGTCTTAGTTTAGGTTTGATGAGCTAAAAGAATTAGCAGTTTATTCGTTTGGGTGCATTTTTACCAGATCTAGAATACATCAAAGGAAAGACTCACATGATGACAGAGTTTTGTCCTCTTCTGATTCGGTGTGGGACAGATGTTCACTCAGGTTGTTGCTCAGCTCCTCGGGCGTCTCCCTCTCATGCCCACTAGGGTCTTCCTCCTCTGGGGTGAGGGGTCCACGGGAGTTTGAGTTACAATCTGAGTCAACCAACTCTGCATCCTCCAGTGCTTCAGACAGTCCGATGATGCCATTCTCGTCCATCTGGCTATCAAAGTCGTCGCTTTTCTCTGCCTGTTCTTCGTCCTCACCATCCCAGTCCTCCTCATATATCACAGAGCTGGTGGGCGAGCTGGGGGCCGGGGCAGGGGTCCAGCAAATCACCCCAGCTTTGGTGTTATTTATTCTCTCCATTCTCCTCTAGGCCTCAGCTGTGACCTCAGATGGTCTTAGCCTGACACTGAAGCGTCCTTCATCCTTTCTTGTTGATCTGTGAGGAAAACGTTCAAAGCCATGACTGCAGAAGGTCATCGATTACAGGTCATGTCAGAAAAGGGGTTACAATCCAGAGGTAGAGCTAAGGAGGAGCTTTCGGTCAGTCTGCAGTCTTAAGGAAGGGGGGGATCTCTTTGAATGCAGTCCCTGAAAAACAAAATGGTACTCTCAGTTTAGTATGTTTAACTTATTACATCACAGGGTGGTCATATCCTGATATAACACTGCACCTCCTGTACAAACCACTCTCTGCATGGGTTTATGCTTACAGCTTTACAAGATGGAAGAAAGCACTTTGAATGTACCGTAACCAAATATTTCCAGGCTTTTGTCATCACTTCTTGTTACTATGAATGTATGTTTTGATCGTGATTATTTAATGCTGAGCTCCGGTCCAGTCTATGTACGGTGTCAGACCCCAGATGATTTCAAAGTAGTTTAGTGGTGGGGTTGTTTTCATTTCAAATTTAAGCATATTCCAAACCTTGGCTGTTAAAATGAAGCAATTTTCTAACTTTGATTAGCTTATCATGAATTGAATAACAAGTTGCAGCCCTACAATTAAGAATTATTTCAGGTATGTATAATAAATATTATGCCTAAAGCAAAACTGTATTAGAATGTTTCAGGCGAACGTACAGTCCATGTGGGTTATTTATTTCATTATGCACTTGCCGTGGTGTCACAGTATGACACATTTTGTCTGACATCCTATGTGAGACGCAGCACTCAAAGATTAGGATCCAAAGTGACATTAAGTCATTGTTTAATTTATTACCCCTCCTTACATCCTGTGCTTTCAGGTTGCACAACTCAGTAAACATACACACATCCTACATCTAATGGAGATTGGATTAGACTGTTAGTCCCCCAAGAACTGGCCTAGAGATGCAACGGCCACTATGGCAACCACACAACACGAGCTGTGCTTTCCAGCGTCTGTGACCTCTGACTAGTCTTAACATAAATCCCAGAGCCTCACACCAACATGTATACTTAAATAATCTTAAAACACATTTTCAAAGGTCATTAAGTCCATCTCTATAAAACATTTAATAAAGGAATTTTAGAGTGTAACAGCACCATTTCTACATAATCTATTTATCCTTTTATAATTGTTATTATATTTATTCGGCCAGAGAGTGCCTTTATTAGAGATACAGTGTTGAAAGGTGGAGAGAGAGGGGATGACACTGCCTGAAATGTCCATGGGCTCACGAGACGAACCCCTGTACTTGGCAGTGGATACCGATACGCGCACTGACCTATCTGGCGTCCCCTTTTATAGATTTTAAAAACACCTTTTTCCTGAGATACGTGCACATATTTTCACTTTTTTAAATGAAGGATCAGATATATATTCAGGATATTACATTTTTAGAAGCAGTATCAGCAGCAGGCACATACAAAAACCCCGACCACATACCAGGTCACAGACCCTTAGAAGCGTCATTATCCGGAAATATTGAACTTAAAGCAAGGAAATAAGAGCTCTTTTAAAAAAGCACATTCAGTAGCACTCTGATTCTCATTGCGTCTTTATCAACAATATCCCAGATTACTGCAAGAAGATCATTAGCCTGATGCTTCTTACAGAGTCTCTAACACACACACACACACACACACACACACACACACACACACACACACACACACACACACACACACACACACACACACACACACACACACACGTGTGTGTGTGTGTGTGTGTGTGTGTGTGTGTGTGTGTGTTAGAGACTCTNTCAGACACGTCAGACATCATTTTCCCTCTGTGTATTGAAAAAATTTTCTATGAATATCTAGTAGTTGTAGTTGGTTTGCCCTGTTTTGACTGATGACGTAGAGAAGACTGTGTTTTGGTCACATGGGGTGATGTAGTTTGTTGCTCCCATTGTTATTGAAAAGGAATGGATCTATTATAATAAGGTTGTTGAAGAAGTATTGTTCCTATGAAATGATATGCAGAAGGTCTATGTAGTACTGTTAGTGCGGTAAGATCCAAGTTAAAATTTCTGTTTGTTGCTTTAAATTGATGAATTTGAACTTCTGAAGAAATTCTAAATATTGACCTAAATACAGATAATGATGCCAAAGGTCTTTCCTGGAAGGGAGTGGTTGTGTGGTTGAATCTGCCTTTTTATTTTCGATTTATTATAATTCATTGGTTTTTCTTTGTTTTGTTTGTTGTTTTTTGTCTTGTTTTGCTTCTCCATGTTTGTCCATGTTTGTCCTTGTTTGGTCCGTTGTTTGTCCCTGTTTGTCCTTGTTTATCCTTGTTTGTCCTTGTTTGCCTTGTTTGTCCATTGTTTTTCCTTGTTTGTCCTTGTTTGTCCTTGTTTGTCCTTGTTTTGTCCCTGTTTGTCCTGTTTGTCCTTGTTTGTCCATGTTTTTCCTCTGTTTGTCCTTGTTGTCCATGTTTGTCCTTGTTGGTACTTGTTTATCTTGGTTTGTCCTTGTTTGTCGCCATGTTTGTCCTTGTTTGTCCTTGTTTGGTCCTGTTTTGTCCTTGTTTGTCCTTGTTTGTTCCTGTTCTGTCCTTGAGTGTCCCTGTTTGGTCCATGTTTGTTCTTGTTTGTCCTTGTTATCCTTGTTTTGTCTCTCTGTTTGTCCTTGTTTGCTCCTTGCTATGGTCTTGGTGTTCCTTGTTTGTCTTGTTTTCCTACCCTCCCTCATACTATAAAGCTGTCTTTGAGTTCAGCAAAAAGCACTATATAAATACTAAGTTATTATTATATTATTATTAATTATATTGGGACATTTCCACAGAATGTCAGATGTTTACCTAATACAGGGTTTTTGAAATGGCGGTTTTAATAATAAAATACCATCTTTATTTTAGGGCGTCCTTTTCATGACAGCCCAAGGACACTGTACAATTTGTTAAAAAAAGGAAAACGCTAATAGGCAACAGAACATGATAAAAACAGAAACAGGAAATCAATGGAGGAGACATTTAAGTGGACACAAATGAAACATAATAAGTGGGCGAGCACTACAGTGGAGTAGCAGATTTGAACAGCGTGGGGTTTTTAATTGGGATTTGAATATGGCTGATCTGGTGGTCTGACTCGTCCTGGATGCTGCGCGGGGAGGGAGTTCCAGAGTCTGGGAGCAGTCCAGCTAAAAAGCCCGTTTTATGGAGTTTCAAATATGGAGTTTCTTTGCAATAAAGTGTGTCCTGCCCAGGATTTGGTGGGATTGATTATGATTGGTCCATTTGTGAATGTAGTGCTTCCTGGATAAGTATAGTCCATTTATCATTCACCCTCCTTGAGAATCTGAGTTTTTCCTCAGGCTACCCACATTTCTTCCGCAAAGCCTCATCGCTATGCTTGTACATGCAAATCAATTTCTCTGGCAACCATCCATACTTCACTGACTTGGCTCAGGGTTGTAATGAGCTCTCATTTGCTGCGCGTTATCATGTCAACAGTGACGTCGGTACATCCGTCGATCACATTTAGATTGTTCAGGTTCAAGAGGAAGTCAGAGGTGTCGCCGACGAGATGTGATGTGAGATCCCTTTGGGGTCGATATGTGTCTTTTCGAGAATGAACTGACCATCGTCCCATCTGTCAGTTATATCATGTGTTCTCTTTCTCTGCTCGGAATAGACTGTTTCCTCGGTGTATTTTTGGAGGTATTCACAAAGAAAAAAAATACCACAAAGACATTACTCCTCTCCGCTTTGCTTGGGCTTTCCACGTGATTTATGTCATTTTTGGTATCGGAACAGCCAACAGGTGGCACTGACTGACCGCAGAGTGAACTTTCCTTTGATCCCTGCACAGTTGTACTGATCAGATTGTGTTTGTTTTGTTTATTTATTGGTTTATTCTTCACATAAGCTACTTTAACAGCTCAACAACTGGCAACTGACAACGACCACCATATTAATAAAGTTACGCTGAAGCACATCTTTGTGCACCATTAATCCTAACGAATATAAAAATACACCAGTAAAACACCCACCTGTTTACTTACTTCGGTGTTGTTATAGTATATTAATGTTTGTTTCTTCTATCATCTTCTTAGTATGTTTCTTTGTCTTGTTGAAAATGGGAGCAGGCTGTGATGCCTAGAAAGATGTAGAGACTTGATCAGACATAAAGTTGTATCGTATCGTGTAGTAGCATTTTGAGATAATTTCCTCCTGGATATTTAAAGTTTTTGGCTTCCTTGTGGCCTCTAGGTGAAAAGTACAAGGCATGCAACAAAGACAATAGGATTCCATCCTCTGGGGAACATGAACAGTGGTTATGCATGCAATATCCAACTCATTGACTCAGCTTGTTGAGATATCTGACTCTGGACTAAAAGTTGTTGACCATCCGATTCGACCACTGCGAATTGTACCTCATATAGGCGCTGCAGGGAGGACGTATTTACCAGGAAGTAAGCTGCTTGGTTCCCCTCGACAAAAGAGCAACAGGATTTCTCCATAGGAGTTTGGCAAAATTGCCTCGAAATAAGATCTGTGGAAAACGAAACACCTGTTTGAATAAATGCCATGTTTGTTTCAGCGGATAATCTACATGTCTAACTACTTTTATCATTTTTTGATCTGAATCATAAATCTAATCGCCAGAAAGCAAAATGCTAACGTGTATGCTATAGAACGAACCAAAGCCAGCCACGATCTTCAACGTCACGCACAAGCCTAAGATCCATAATTCAAAACACAGATTCAAAATGGTAAAAGTTGAAGCGTCTTGTTTTAACAGTCTGCAGGAGGCAAGGTACTTTTGCTTTCAGAGCAGAAGCAAAAAAAAAAACAAAGCAGGGCAAACAAACTTAGAGGGAGTGTTTAACGTGTTCGGGCGTAATGAACGTACAACGGCCTCCACCGACTTCTGTTAGTCCTATTCAGAGCCACTCTGTTACAACCCCATCGTTTTTCAGACACGGTCAACCTCTTCCAGAAATCACACAGTGGGGGTCACTGCCTGATGGATTTTAATGTCCGTAGAACAAAACCGTGAATCCGTCTCTTCCAATGTGTCTCAACCACAGACCTTATTTCCAGCTATTTTAACAAAATCCTATGGAGAAAATCACCATTGGCTCTGAGACGAGGGAACAGGAAGTGGTACAATGCACATAACTCACTGTCCGGGTTTGGACTCGTCTGCACCGACTCTACC